CGGCAATTTTTTCTTTAATCTGGCTTTTCCATATTTCTCCGACAATTCACTGTTCAGAGAGAATCATTCTGTTTGCAGCTGGCATGAGTGACCCACTTGGCACATCACTAATGTTTACACAGTGGAATGCTACTGGAATCCCTTGCAAAGATTCTTGGAGTCTTTATGATGGTGAAATAACTATAAAATTGCTACAGATTTGAGCTGCTGGTTTGTTTTCTGCTCATTTTATTCTCTCTGCTCAATGGCAAAAGAAAATACAGTACTCATAAATTTTATTCATGTTCGTCTGGTAATTGACCTGATTTCCAAACAGTGTAATTTTTGATCATTTAAGATTGTTTGTGCTTTTAAAGTCTGAAGAAGGACTAGAGTGTTGATGTCACCATTACTAATGTCAAACCTCTGGGTGCGTGAGATAGGGTACAGAAGAATGTACCCAGATCATAGATCACAGCTCCCCCATGCGCATGCACACACTGCCTGTGTTCTTCTGGAGGTAACATATACATAAGTTAACAGGTTCTTAGTTTCCTCATCTGTAACATGGAAACATAGTTACCTGTCAGGGATATTACAAGGCCTGAAATACAAGAAGTCTGGACCCCTCCAAGACTTAAATAGTGGCTGTTAGTAGTAATAACTGTGAACCCTTTGTCTTTCAGATTCTGCTCATAACTGTAGGCAAGAACTTGGTGCCTCTTCACTCCAGAAGGGCTGGTGAAAGGCTTTTTTCTTCTCCAAAACTCATTTCTCAAGATAAACTATAATGAGACAGCAAGCTGACACCAGCAGAAGAGACTATGACCTCTATTAACAAAGGTGAACTAACTGAACGGGTATTTGTAGTTTCTCATTTACCCCCAAACAAACTTCCTGTGTCTAGTTATCTTCTGAGAAGGCCTCTAACTCCTGCCTTTGCTGTGTGCAGTCTGTCAGCTGCAAGGCCTATGTGGTAAATGCACAGAGCTCACACTGGGTGAGAGAAGGCGAGGTGCTGAAACTTAGATGTTGCTGGGACTTAGGGGAACTCTCTTATCTCCAAGATAAAAAGCAAAGGCCTCAGAGGGAGCAGCCCTTAGCATGTTCCACAGAGGCATGCGTCCTCTACTTGGGGCTCAGCCACATCTCGCCATGACACAATACTTGTGTGCTAGCTTCTGTCCTTCCTCAGTTACCATCAGCTCTGTTATGTCCTCCCAGGTTAGGTCCTTGACTGTCCACCCTCTTAACATTAGCTTTCTGTCACAGAATAAATCATCTGAAATGAAGTCTGCAAAGTACTCTTAATGATATTTTGTCTTTGTAATAGTTAACAAATAAATATGGGTTTTCTATATCACTGTAGTTTTGCTCTTGACTAAAACCATTAATGAGAAAAGATTAAGATTTTTAAATTGTGTACGTATGTGTGTTTTGTCTGTGTGTATATCTGTACATCATGTGCATGCCTGGTGCCCATAGAGATCTGAAGAGGGTATTAGAGCCACTGGAACTGGAGTTCCAGATGTTTATGAACTGCCATGAGGATGCTAGGAACTGACCCTAGGTCCTCTGCAAGAGCAGCAAGTATTCTTAACTGCTGAGCCATCTCTCCAGCCCAGCACTTGCTGCTCTTTTAGAGGACCTGAATTCAGTTCCTCTGCTTCCATATTGTGCAGCTCACAGCTGCTATACTGCTGACTCCCGGGGATCTCACAACCTCTTCGGATTTCCCTGAGCACTCAGCTATACATGCAAATACATACACCCATACATCATGAATAATAAATAAAGTTTTAAAGTAATGCTGGGGCTAGGGATGTAAGTTAGTTGGTAGAGAGCTAGTCTAGCTGCATGAAGCCCTGGGTTTAGTCCCTACCACTGTATAAGCATGGCCTGATTGTGTATGCCTATAAATACAGAATGATAGTCGGATGCCTGGCCCCTGCTTTGTTGACCGAATCACCTATAGCAGCAGACCAACCACAGCAAATCCCACAGAATCCTGAAACTTGTTCCTTCAGAAAGATACTCAATGAAATTTCTGTTGTCAACCCATGAGATGTTGGCCCCGTGTAATGAGTATACTCCTAGGGTAGAGTTGTGGGTGGTATTTAGACTGACAGCAGAGAGACGTGCAGAAGGAGTTTGTACTTAGTCACTGCTGCTGGGAGGTACTGAAGCTGTATTGTTTTGGAAAACACGTTTAAAAAACACAGTTCAATACCCACATAACCTGATTGGCGCCAGCTCTATAAAGTGGTGTAATGCTAGACAATCACTTTATTTCTTCATTTTTGAGCTTAATTTTAGTGTTACTGGAATTATGCTGCTTGCATGATCTTATGGACTTTATTCCCAAGTTTGACTTGTTGAAATATCCCCAAAAAATAGGGTTAACAGTTTTGTTATTAGTTCTATCATTAAAATCCAGAAACATACTGAGGTTAGAAAACTGCCTTAGCATTTAAGAGCACTGGCTGCTCTCCCAAGGGATCTGACAACCGTCTTTTGCCTCTGAAGGAACTGTGTACACTTGAAGCGCAAACACATATAGTTGTATGTGTCTAGTTGGAAGATTTCATAATTTTAGGTACATGGATGTGATACCAGCACTTAGAAGGTAGAGACAGGAGGATCAGGAGTTTGAGGCTAGCCTGGACTAAATAAAAGTATATAGAGGGTAATTGATACAGCTTGAAATTTTGAGGTTTGTTTTAGAGATTATTAATTATTAGTATATGTTGTAATTATTTAAAATCAGCCTCCAGCTCAGGCCGACTAAGCTGCAGCAGCTCTGCCTAGCCCAACCACCATGTTTCTCCGCCGGAGGCCACATGCATGTGTGCTGCAGCTAGAAATGGCCAACTAGAAACACCAGCCTTGCCACCCACGAGACGTCAGCGTGGGAGATGGCTCTGCCAATCTTCCATGCTGTCTCCACAAGGCTGGGCATTGCCCAGACAGACCATCCCGCCATCCACGTGGGCCCAGTAGAAAAAATGAGACTCTAATGCTTAAAGATTAATCAAAGGCTTTATATGTTTGATAATGATTAATAACAAGATCCCCATACAAAAAGAAAGTTGTATCCCAATTAGCTAACCTAATTATAAGTTGTTCCCCACGACTGCTCTCCATACCTGTGTGGTTCTCCATCCTCCTACATCTCTGCCCTCTCTAGCTCCTCCTCTTCCTCTCCTTACTCCTCCCACCTTAGCACCTCCTACAAGTATATGTGAGTTGCTTATTATAACAGTACCTAGAAGGTAGCTCAATAGGTGTTATCGACAAGGTTAGTGCTGACTTCATTTATCTATTTATTTATTTTGAGGCAGAATCTTATGAGGTCCATACTGGGCTTGAGTTTGCTGTGTTGTTGAAGACTACTATGAACTTTAAGCCCTCCTGCCTCCACCTCTTAAGCCTGGGATTACTGACATGTGCCTTCACACCCAGTCTTATGTGGTTATGGGGATCAAACTCAGGGCCCTTTGTGTTGTTGGCAGGTACTACCAGCCAAGCTGCATCCTAGCCCTGGTACTGACTTCCTGAAGTGAAGCTATGACTAACCCACCACCAGATTAGAATACGTCTGTGAAGCTTGAAACAAAAACTCCAGGAAGCAGTTAAACATCTCAGAGTCTGAGCTTTTCTTGTAGGGCCTGCAGGCCTTCAGTGCAGGTTGTTCTTTGTGCTTTATAATCAGATCTAATGCACTGGAGTGTCTGCTTTCCAGTAGAGCAGATGGGTAGGAGAAGGAAGTGACTCTCAGTCCTAGCAACAGGAACAGTGAATGGCTGACAGCATTATCAAGGGAAGCAAGTCTTTGCAAATAAACAGTTGTTATATACACTGTGTAGAGCAGATGGTTAGGCTGTTCAACATGAGGCTAGTGCTGCAGTGTTTGAAAAACTCTTACTCTTAACAAAATTCTAGTGGTGAGTCCATCCGAAGCCGGTGGAGAGATAAGGGTGTAGCGTAGTGGTGTGGCGCTTACCTAGCATGCACGAAGCCAGGGTCCATCCTCAGCATCGCTTTCTAAAACAAGGTCAGTGGGGAAAAACTGGACAAAAGGATAAAAACAAAACAGATCCATAAAGGAAGTTAGGGACCAGGAGTGTTGACATAGTGTGGATGCTCTTCTGATGTTAGACTAGTGTCTTAACGGTTGCCCTGAGTTCACCACATTCAAGATGATGTTAGCTAGCCTTATGTGTGCCTATAAGTTGCAAAAACCAGAAATCATCTAGCCCTCTCTGCCTTTGAAATGGAAGCATACTAGCCCTGTCTAGATTCACACAGGAGGGATTCATAGATGCTGGTTTATGAGAAGTGTACATTGTCTCCTGTAGCTGTGAAGCTAAAATGTGTATGTATATAGATGGATAGGTAATAAAAGATTAGTGGACGTTGTGTTCTGTTGCAAATAGAATAAGCACAGTTGCGTTTGATTTAGTTGTAGTTCCTGTGTGTGTTAGTATGACAGAGGGAGATGAGAGTTAAGAATGTAGCGGGCACGTTTGCGACAGTCATTGTCCAAATGACTTAAGCTCCGTAAATAGAAGAGAGCACTTGAGATCACTGGGGACTCATCTGGTCTAGTGACTGACTAGTGAAGGAGCTGAAGGAGGTTAGAAATGGAGGTTAGAGTATTCGAGCTCATATTTTGTTTACTGGTAACGACAAGCTTGTAGCTAAGGTGGATCTTGGGCAGAACAAAGACACAGCTATCAGAAGAGATAGCCAAGGTACTCAGAGACCAAGACACCGGAAGGATCCTTTGTGTATTTCAATTACCAAGACATAACTTGAGTTTGCTCCACAAAGAGGCAGGGACTAAGATCTTAAAGGGGTGGGAGAGGTGGGTCAGTGGTTAGTGTACATACTGCTCTTTCAGAGGACCCAAGTTCTGAACTGCCTGGAATTCCAGCTCCCAGGGATCCACCAGGCCTCTTCTGGCCCATAGGCACCTGCACACACAGTATATATTCACATACATACACATACACATTAAATTGCTTTCTTTACTGGAGGAAAGAGGTGTTTATTTTGGCTTAATGGTTCTGAAAGGATGAGAGTCCATTATGACAAGTGGCAGACACGGTGGCTGGAACAAAAACTGAAAGATTACATCTTTAACCATGAGTACATACCAGGGCAAAACAGAAGCAGGGCTGGCTAGGTTATGTACTCAAAGCCCACCCCAGTGACATACTTCTCCAGATGGCTGCATCTCCTAACCTTTCCCAAAATAAAAATCTTTTAAAAAAAACAAACTTAGAACACAAGCAATAAACAGCAGTGAGGACAGGTGAGAAGAGAGAGAAAAGTGCCACCCTGAGAGGAATGCAGGATTGACAGCAGAATCTAGGGACACAAACTCAGAGTCACTGGGGAGGTCAGAGAGTCGACATCGTCACAGTAACGACCGTTCCCCTCTCTGTCAAGCCATGAAGCATGCATGTTACTGAAATGTAAGTAGTTGTTGTGTTCTATGAGAAGCCATGAACTAGAGAACACTCAGCTGCGTTTTGGAAGGCAAAGGGTTGTTTAAAGGAACAGTCATTATTTGGTCGTTTTGCCAGGATAGAATTGAGGCCTCAAATTTGAAGAAGCTGGAACCATGCGTTTTTTGGTTAAAAAAAAAATGTGAAAGTGGCTTTTGTTTTACAGGGAAGCCTGACTTCAGTTAAAAGCGGGCCATCAGCTATCGGCAGTTATCTATGTTGTCAGCCCTTTGAGTCCCCCTGTTAAGAATGGTTTTTAAAAAAGATTTTATTTATTTGGAGGCAGGTTTAGGGGTGCACACCTCTGGAGGAAGCACATCCCTGGGGGAGGGCTTAGAGAGCGCATGCATTTAGTCATGGAGTCACAATTCTGAAGCCTCACACTTAAGTACTCTTATGATCCTTGTGACAGAGCTTCTGGTCACCTGACTGACCTCCGGAGTCTGTAAGCTTATCCCCACGCAGTGTATGTTACTGCCAGCTTAGCTGCCAAGTGTTCGTTTTTACTCATCTCTCATTCCCCTCGCCCCAACCCCTTTTTAAAAACCAGTATTGTGGCCTGGATTGTTTGTAATTAGACTTCAAGCCTGCAAGATGGCCTAGTGGGATTAAGGCATTGCAACACAAGCCCGGCAACCGAGTTCCATCGCCAGAACCAGATAAAGACAGAACTGGCTCCGAGGAGATGTCCTCTGACCTCCATATGTATGCTGTAGCATGCACCCACCCACACATTTTACACACAAAAAATGAAATAATAAACTGGACTTCAGTAAGGCTTGCAGTGGAAAAAGGCTTTTTAAGCTTCCAAATGTACTAATAAGGACTGGAGAGATAGCTCAGTGGCTAAGAGAACTTGCTGCTCTTCCAGCAGACCTGGGTTCCCAGCACCCACATGATAGCTTATCACCTGTAAATCCAGCTGCAGGGGACTCAGAGCCCTGTTGTGGCCTCCTTGAGTACCTGTGTATACACGTGCATATAGATGCACTCATACACAAATAAGAAAAAGAAAAGACACTGAGCTTTAAAGTATAATTCAGAGAGTTGAATGTTGTCTTTAGAACCTCTCCTCCAGTCACGGATAGCTGCTGACATGGAAGTATAAAGCGTGCGTTTGCCCCTGGTGCTGGGGACAGTCACAGCACACCTGGGCTCAGCAGCTCATCCAGTCAAATGGAGGTTAGAATCCATTTCCACATTCTATCATTAGCTGTTCCTGAGCATTTCAGTGTATCATTACAAAGATAAGGAACACAGAAAGAAAACCCACCTGCCTCTCCAGGCGGCTGTGGCATGCAGTTGGGAACATGAAAAGACCAGATCTTGGCTGTGTGTGCATTAAGACAATTTGACTGAAATTGTCAGCTTAAATATTTTAGGTATTAGGATATATTTAAAATTTAGGAAGCCTGAGGCAGTTGGGGTAGTACATACTTACAGCCCTAGCACTTGGAAGATGGTGAGTTCAGGGACAGCCTAGGCTACATTGTGAGTGTCTTTACCCTAAGATAAATACAAAGCAGAAAACCCTGGTTGTGGTGGCACATCCCTGCCTGTAATCCCAGCACTTGGGAAGCAGAGGCAAAGGCTCACTGTCTGAGGCCAGCCTGGTCTACACAGGAAGCTTCAGGCCAGCCAGGTTACAAGGGAGACCCTGTGTCAAACCAATGGGAAACCTGTTGAGGAGTAGTGGATATAAAAGGCATTTCCCAAAACAAGTTTCTGGTTAAAAGATGCCACCATTGCTAGTGTCACTAAGAAGCTGTGGCTGGCAAGCACCTTGTGGAGCCTGTGAGTGAGCCCGCCTCCTGCCTGACCAGTGACCCTCCCCCGCCTCACTTTATCTCTCTTGTTCTTCTCATCACATTAATAATGACTTGGGGTTATAGAGGTTTAATGAATGAGCCTTTTCTAGCAGCATTTAATACATCACTCGACAAGTCTTAACTGAGAATACAGGCTACCTCATCTCACAGTAAGTATAAGTCCAGGTAGTGAAAACATGAAGACACCTTCCACAAAGGAAGTTGAAACAGGGCGAGTCCAGAGTTTGGAAGGTGCTCAGATGGTCACATCCAGCTTGACTGTCCTGTGACTTCGCCTGAGTCTTTGGGGGTGGTTACTCCTTTTTATTAGTCATTTGGTTGTTATGCAGCCATGGGAGGAAGAAGCTGAACATGAGGATCAGCAGCAGCACGCCTGGAAGACAAAACACCGCAACGTAAGCTCAGAGCCGTAGGGACGGCGAGGAGGACCACAGAGTGGAAACCAAGATTGCTGCTCTCAGGCTTCTCTTCAGTCCTTAAAATGATTACATACACAGTAAGAACAGGGCGGACACCTCGGACTCACGTGGCACTGACAGACTTGGTGAGAACCTGGGCTTGCATCATTGGTTCTTCTGTAAAGTGGCAGGGCTTCTTCCGTGCCTCAGAGGTGGCCTGGGAGGCAGGAGCTCACAGCATTTTGGAATTTTTGTTGTTTTTAAGTAGAGCAGAGATTAAGGAAAAGAAAAAGTCTCTGGAGAGCAGGAGGAAACCTTGACAGCTCTCTGCATGCTCACCCAAAGTTCAAACATACACACGGCAGGCTCTGGCTCTTTCTTTCTTCATGAGTTCGTACCATAGTGGGTTTTACAGATACATCACATAAAATACCTAAAACCAGTCTTTAAATACAGAATAGTTTTTTTTAAATGTATATTAATAGTGCTTCATTTACGTATTTGTTGTTTTTGCAATGCTGTGACTCGGTTTGGGCTCTGTGCACTAGACAAGCCATCATCACTGAGTAACACCTCCAAACCTAACTCTTCATTCTTTTCTCAATTTTTATAAATTATTTTTATTGTATAGATGTTTTACCCATTTTTATTTAGCTGATGACTAAATAAAAGTAAGAAATGCTGATACCATAAATGCTGATAATTATATAAACAACATCCTCATTATAGTTACCGTCGCTCTTTAAAAGAGAACTTTTCCTGATAAGTAGGGATGGAACCTGCAGCAGCATGTATACTAAGCAAGCCCTTAGTGGGCCACATGCCTGTCCTGATCTAGATTGCATTAAGATGGATGGGACTTGGGAGCCATTTAGAGGCTGTATTGACTACAGAGCTGTTACACAGGATGCTCTCTGACACATAAGAAAAGCAACCTAAATGATTAAATAACATTTGGTTTAGGACTCACACATTCATAGGGGAAATTATTTAGCAAAAAAATAAAAATTGATCGATTAATTTTTATTATTTTAAGGTAGGTCTCATATACCACAGGCTGGTCTGAATTCACTATGTAGTAATTATTTTGGTACTAGAAATAGAACCCAAGAATTTGTGAATGCTGGGCAAGTTTTCTACCACTGAACTGTATCCCCATTCCCTCACCCCATTTTTATACTTTTGGACTTATATACTAGACTCAGGAAGTTGTCCAGGCTGGACTTAAAATTGCTTTGTACCCTAAGTAGGCCTTATACTTGTAATCCTCCTGTCTCAGCCTCCTAAGTAACTAGAATTTCAGGCAGCATACCAGGCCCAGCTAAAATATTATTTGTGAATGGAAATAATTATCCTTCATTGCCCTCACCTATCAGGCAGCCTGATTCTAACACGGTATCAGGAGCTGGGGAGCTGGCTCACTGGATGAGTGCTCGCTGTATTAGCTTGAAGACCTGAAGCTGGATTCCCGGCACCCATGTAAAAGTCAGGCATGACAGCATATGCCTTGTAACCCTAGCACTTGGAAGTAGGGCAGAGGTGGACAGATACTGGAGCTTGCGCTTTTCAAGCATGTTAACCAAGTTGGGCTCTTTTTTTTTTTGTATATTCTCTGGCTTTAGAAATTGACATAGTGAAGTTCTTTTGTGTCATATTTTAAAATATTTTATAATCTAATTTGGGGTCTGGAGAGATGGCTTGTCAGTTAAGAGCACTGGTTGCTCTTCAGAGAAATTGATTTCTAGTCCAAGCACCCACATGGCAGCTCACACCCGTCTGTAAAACAGTTCCAGGGGCTCCAGGGGCACTGGGCACACATACAGTGTACACTCATGCATGCACAACACTCTACGCATAAATTAGTTTTTTAAATGTCCTAAACTTTCAGACATAGTAAATAAAATATGCTTACCTAAAGAAGGAGCAAGCCAGTATACTACAAAAAACTTATAGAACAGTTCGTCAAAGCACGGGAAGTGCAGTGAAAGTGCCAGCGCCGGGTTAAACAGAGCTCCCGTGAGGCTCCCTCCTGTGAGCAAAGACAGAAATCTGTTACAAAGAAAGCAAGACTGAAATGACACAGCTAACATGAGCCCAGGGGCCTGGGACCCTCCAGTGCACACATGCCTTTGTATTAAAATGGAAAGTGAAATAGACAAAAACGCATTACCACTGGGTCTCTGCCAGCAAAGTCCCTAAGAAGCAACCGAATGGCAGAACTCAAAGGAGAAGTTAAACAAGTTAAGAAATGAAGCCAGAGTGCTGCTGCTGCTGCTGGAGTATGAAGACCCGAGTTCAGATCCCCAGATGGCTGTGGCTGTATGAGCTCATAACTGCACAAGTGGAGTGGAGACAGGACCCTGGGAGCTCGATGGCCAGCCGGCCTAGCTAGAATGACCTGCTTCAGATTCATTGCAAAACTGTCTGAAGGGAATAGTGTGGAAAGTGATCAAAGTGCACTCAGTCAGCATCCTCTGCCTTCTTCACACACATACATGGATGTGCACGCACAGAAATAAACATTCAGAAGGGACTGCACAGAGCCCAGCAGTGGACTCATGTTCCAGCTCAACATAGCGTAGGGGTTTATGGTTGTGACCACACAGCTGACGGAAAAGAAGGCTGGATGCCTGATGAGCACTACTCCCCAGAGTGTGGCAGTGCATTTGCAAATACCCAGGAAGTACCCCAAGACATTTCTGTTCTTCCCAATGGAAGCGTCTTCACGCATGTGGAGTCTGGCACTGACATAGACCCCTATAGCATGTTAACTGTCTTGATAAAACAGTAAGCTAGAGTTGGGTAAGAGCTTTTTGTAGGATTTACCTAATGAGATTCCCTAGGCTGAGAACAGCAGCAATGTTGAGCGGAAGCTATTGAGCAGATCAAACTCACCAATGGCTGTTTTCTCTAACATTCCAGCTTGACAGCACAGCATGGTCATGCACAGCAGTAATAAACAGTGCCATCTGAGAACATGCACTAAGTCTTGAACAGTCTTTGGGGATATTATAAACCTAATGAAACATGGCTACCCTTAGCATTCAAGAAAACTGGTTGGCAGCTGCTCATTTCCGTTTCCACAAAAACAAAGTAAATTGAGCTCCCTTGTACTAAACACCAAGGGCAGAAAGACAAAGACTTCCAGATCTTTGCAATGTTATGACTTAACATCATACAAGTGCCCTGGACAGTTATCATTAGGAATGGCCCAAGCGGGGCTGAGAGATGGCTCAGCTGTTGAGAGCACTAGCTGCTCTTCCAGAGGTCCTGAGTTCAATTCCCAGCAACCACACAGTGGCTCACAACCATCTATCTGTTCACTCTCCTTGTCCTCTAACCCTCAGCACGGTGCTTCAGAGCCCTGTGGGAACTGCTACAGGACCATGATGTCACTCAAATCTGGGTTGGCTCTGTGACTTGAATTGGCAAAGGGTAGAAGAGGTCGTGCCGAGTTCTGAATGCAGAATTCTGAACTGCTGTTGGTGGAATCCTCACTTACTGTTCTCTTGGAACAATGTCCCGAACCTGTAAGCAGAGGTCTAAGCTGCTGGAGGATGAAAGGCCTCATGGAGGGGAACCCGAGTGCTCCAGATGTCAGATGACAAGCACTGGCAGCCAGGTGTGAGCAAGGGTTCTTGGCTTTGACCCCAGCTGAAACAAAGCGGCTACACAAGTGATCTCAAAGGATCTCATCTCACCCAAAAATAAAGGAGTACATTTATTTTTACTGGGTTCCTCACACATGTACTCCACAACACACGTGTCCCTCCAACACAGTGCACCCCACACACATGCACCAATCCACACACAAATCATTAAGCAAGTGGGTAGAAAGCACAAAGAATCATGGGAAATAAGTAGTTATTACTACTTTTAGAGTTTGGAGATGGGTTGTTGCATACCAACAGCTATAATAACTTAAACAGTAATCCACATCAGGTGTGGCTTTTGTGTAAAAACCCAAACTGGATACTTTGCTGTTTTACTTTATAATCCTTTGTTGTTAGAGGCTGCCCTGTGTACATTTAGTGACAACTTTGGCCTCTACCCACTAGATGCTGGTAGCCCCGCCCCTTGCCAACTTTGTAACTATCAAAAAGCCTCAAATATCACCAGGTGTTCCAGGTGTTCCCAACTGAGAATAGCTGTCCTAGAGCAACAGTGGTTCATGTGCAAGAAGACATGGGTAATGTTAGTTTATAGCAAGGAACTAGGAAGTCTAAATGTCCAGAAAGGTGTAGACAAACATGCTTATTTGGAATAGCATATACTATTTTGAAGAAATTAGAGATTTTTTTTATGAACATAGATCTCCAAGATAAACTCTAAACAACTACCATGAGAAAAAATACGGAGGTGCTGGAGAGATGGCTCAGCTGTTAAAGGCTAGGCTCACAGCCAAAAATATAAGAAAAAATACAGAGAGTAGATGTGGTGCTTTTTTATGTTCACCTGAACACAATTATTAGATTCAGTTTCATAACTTATTATTTATGTGTTCAATAAATAAATGAAAAAATGAAGCAAAGTCTATGCGTTTCTTCTGTTTTTCGACAGTCCTATAAGAAAAGGGCAGGGTACAGTCTTAGGACAGATGTGGGGATCCCAGGAGACAGTACCGCTTGGGTGCTTTCATTGACTCTGGCTCTCCAAGCTCCATTTCACAAATGCTGTAATGTACCAACAAGTCTAAGGATTAAGCAAAACTTAAAAATTTAAGAGTTTAAGAAGTAAAGCCGGACACGCTGCATGCCTTTGAAGCCAGCATAGTCCAGCTCTCCCTGAAAAGGCAGGGTTCCTGGGCTGCCTGAGGTGTGGATTCCCCAGGGAGGGGATTCCTCCTCAGAGTGCTGCTGGCTGTGTTGTGTTCAGATTGCACTGCTGACTACAAGAGATGGAATGTGATTGGCAATCCTGCAAAAACGGCTGTGTTATATAGGAGATCTGTGGGAAACTGCAGGGCAGAGGAATAAGGACAATAGCATTTTTCCCCCGATTGCGTTACACCAGGAAGAAACTGCAAGTTTGAAACATGGTCCCTCGTACCCATTGAGATGGTATCTTAAAGATAAGGAAACTGAGGACTTGATTAAATATCTAACAGCACAGTCTGACTCAACCTGGCCTCTTAACACCAAATTACACTGGTATAGCAAAAGGTTTGGGGCCTTTGTTTAATCTAGATGTTGGTTTGTTTGAACACATGTTTATTTGGTGAGGGGGATGTGGTGGTCAGAGGACACTTTAGGACTCAGGTCTCCTTCCACCAGGTGGGGCCTAGAGATCACACTCAGGTCATAAGGCTTGGTGACAATCTATTTTACCCACAGCCATCTCACCAGTCCTGAAACTAAAATTTATTTGTGAATTATTGATTGTATCCATTCCTGTTTTATTTTTTTTACTCTATATGAGTGCTCTATCTGCGTGTACACCTGCGTGCCAGAACAGGACATCAGATCATGCTATAGATGGTTGTGAGCCATCATGTGGTTGCTGGGAATTGAGTTCAGGACCTCTGGAAGAGCAGTCAGTGCTCTCAAGTGCTGAGCCATCTCTGCAGCCCCCGTTTCCTTTTTAAGTGAGACAGTGTGCAATGCTCTTAGTTCATTTTTCTTTGGACAAATGATCTTCCCTATAACTGTGGCCAGAAGGAGAATAAAAACCCGAAAGAGTAAGGAATAAAGTAAATAAACACTTCAGTTTCTCCAGACTAGAGAAAAGGGGGCAGGGAGACTTGTCTGAAAGTTGTCTTACTTGGTGCGGGTATTACTGTGCCGAGTCCTAGTTTATAGATTCTGGAAAGCACGTCTGATCTGTACTCATAGCTTATTGTTTGTAGATGGACACAGACATTATGTCATGGACAGGTATAACTTAAAATTCTACACATTAGAAACATTACAATATAGACAACTTACATGTTTAAAATGACATTTTTAAAATATCTAATTATGCATAGAAAATGAACGCAGAGCTCAATCACCTTGACTGTTGAAGTACATTCTCCCAAAACCCAAATTAAGATTTACTTACAGTCTTCATTCATAGCTCATAGCTCAACAATCTCAGGCCTGGTGCTGCATGCCTGGAATCCCAACTGTTCAGGAAGCAGAGGTGGGACCAGCAAGATGGCTCTGACAGCGTGAGTTCAGTTGAGGGACCCACATGGTGGATGGGGAAATTTGACTCTCTAAAGTTGTCCTCAAGCCCTGCACGTGTGCTATAGCATGCACACACAACCATCCCACCCCAACCCACATACACATACAAAATAAATAAACATAACTTCCTTAGAAAAAGAAAGCTTGGAAGGATCAAATGAGTTTGAAAGCAGTCTAGGTAGTGACAAAGCCAGTCCTTCTCCATTGGCCTCTTACTTATGAGTAACTCCAAGTGTCACACTGCTTCTCTTTTGAAAGACATTTTTACCCCTCACAAGAGCCAAAGGCCATATGCATAAAGTTCTATTTGTGAACTATATCCCCAGCCCAGAAAAGTTAATAGTATATACATTATTTGTGGAATCATAACTTGGTGCTAAAGCATAAAAATACAGGAAGAACACCAACCTCACAACCATCAACAGAGGCACAAGGAGCAATTCGGGGGTGAGAAAGATCTAGGTGTCCTTAATTTTTTTTTAATTATAAAACAATCTCAGATTTTTATTTGTGTGTGTGTGTGTGTGTGTGTGTGTGTTTGTGTGTTTTAAAACGATTTATTGTTTTTTGTATTTGAGTCACTGTCTTCAGACACACCAGAAGAGGGTATCAGATACCATTGCAGATGGTTGTAAGCCACCATGTGGGTGCTAGGAATTGAACTCAGGACCTCTAGAAGAACAATCAGTGCTCTTAACCACTGAGCTGTCTCTCCAGCCCTTGTGTGTATGATTTTGGAGACTAGGTCTTATGTACCCCAGGCTGGCCCATACCCAGTCAGTAGCAGAAGACGACCTTATTCCTTCTGCCCCTACCTCTCCAGTGCTAGTATTATGGGCATGGGTCGCCTGCACAACTCTTTGCTCGTTTAATTGGCAAATACATAACTATACTGTGGCATAACTGCTCGTGCACAGCGGAGTTCCTGCTTTAGCTTAAATTCTCACTGGCCCCTCAAATACACATGTGCCCACTTCTCTTACCCCACATAGTGTATATTCCCGTGTGTCTACTAAAAAACCAGTACTAGATTTAAAGAAGGAAAATTTGTGAAGTCTCTCATGTTACCCTAGGAAGTCAAGCATACACTTGAAGTATATACCCCTACTGTGTTTCAAGGAATTTTTTTATTGTACCCAGGTTTGAGCCCAGAACCTACTAGTGCTAGGCCGGGTTGTTACCGCTGAGGTACTTTACTCAGTTTCTCTTTTAATGAGTACAAGAAGTAATACGACTGTTACTATGTTTCCTTTATTTATATATTCATGCCGCTAAAACTTCTTTTTATAATTCCACTATTATCTCAGTAAAAGTATTTCATTATTTTAAATGACACACTCTTTTTTTTTTTTTTTTTTTGGTTTTTTCGAGACAGGGTTTCTCTGTGTAGCCCTGGCTGTCCTGGAACTCACTCTGTAGACCAGGCTGGCCTCGAACTCAGAAATCCGCCTGCCTCTGCCTCCCAAGTGCTGGGATTAAAGGCGTGCGCCACCACCGCCCGGCGACACACTCTTAAAAGGCACATTTTATCATTAACCAATTTTTGAATCCCTACTGCAGCTGAGCTTTGTGTAAGTAAATAAGACTTCTGGAGGTGTATTTGTTTTTTTTTTTTCTTTCTGGTTTTTATTTTGTTTTCCTTAGACCGGGTTTCAGTATTTAGTACTGTCTGACCTGGAACTTAACATTATCCTCCTCCTCTGCTTCCCGAGTGATGGGATGGCAGGCGTGTGTGCCGCCACACACAGCTGAGAATTACTTGTTTTTAAAGAGCATCTTTAAGCAAAATTTAAACTTGAAACACACCTTTCATGAGAGTCTACTTAAACGTTCACGTGCATCTCAGCATAAGGAAATACGACGAGTAATTTGTAGGGAAAAAGTAGGAAGTGAGTGCAGCTACAGAATTGCTACTCCCTACGGAGTAGGGAGGTACTAACCAATCATGCACTTTAAGCTCGAAGGAACTTTTAGACCGGATCCTTTCTCAGTAAGAGTGTCAGAAGCAATCTATACCACCTTGGCATGAGAACTGTAACCGATAACCTGCCTTTCTAACATTAAAACAATCCCCTTGTAGGCTATTTAAGCCGTTGGCAGTAATCTACCCTGATCTTAGTTTCGGCACAAGAGTGTCTGCTTTCTCTGGGTGTTCAAAACAGCACTGAATGAAGAAGATCTGTATGTTGGCTCCAACTGCTAGGCACTGGCTGCAAGATGGTTCGAATAATAAATGGCCCAGGGTAGGGTGCAGGCATTTGCATCACATTAGCGGAAGGGGCTCAAATGTATCGGTAAAGAACTTAGAACCTCGGGTCATAGAGGCTCGGGACTGCCAAGTGTTTAGTAGGAATAACAAACCTGCATAGGCCAAAAAGGTGATGAGTGCAGCCAGCAGGTGGATGCGAAGCTTGGTTCGGACCTCCTGGAAGTGCAGTAGAGCGCTGTGGAAAATAAAGGAGCAGATGGCCTCTATGATGATCGCTTTGGACATGTCGGTATGGATGGGATTCCTGCAAGCTAAGATCCTCCCGTCGAAATGGTAATTGGTCAGACTCAGGCTCCACAGGGCGCCTATGAAGTACCTGCTGCATAGGGCGCTAACCAGCTGAGCCAACAACCTCATGGCACCCGTGTCGGGGGGCATACTCCCCAGAATCATCTGCATCATCACGCCGCACGGGTTGCTAGCTGTGCCCACCAGGGTCAGGCCATGCACCAAGGAAAAGAAGTAGATCAGTGTCAGCGTCCAGGTTGGGTGCGCGGAGTCCTGCTCGCTCAGCAGTTGGAGCTCATGGGTGCAGCAGCAGAGCTGGAAGGTGGCTAGAAACTCCAGGACGAAGGCGTGGACCATGGGCCTGTGCAGCTGTTGCCGGGCGATCACGCGGGCCAGCCCCATAAGCAGCACGACCAACAGCATTAGCCCCAGCGAGACGCAGGTGTCCTGCACCTCGGGCCGGAGCCCCAGTAGCGCGGACATGGCTCCCTCACCGCTAGGGATGGCTGAGGGCGTCAGGGAAAGAGGAGCGTCGGGGGCTGGAGTCCGAAGTCCGCGGCTCCGCCCTCCCACGCCCCTCAGGGCGGGCCGAGTGGAAAGCCCGGGTTCCGCGCTGGAGGGCTCCTCCCCTCCCCGGCTGTGCTGTGCAGATGTGACCTGAGCCGGGGAGGGGGGGGGAGGAGGAGAGGCGGCGAGGGAGCTGTCCCTGGGCACCGGCGGAGGGGACAACGGTCGGCAGCGCCCCACGCGCACCGGCCCGCCGCCGCCTCCCTCAGCTCCGGGCCAGGGCCCGAGACCACTGCGCACGCGCGCGGCGCCCGAGCTCTGGGTTCCCAGCCGCCGGACCCCGAGCCTAAGACCGCGCCACGCTGGTGACAGCGCCTGTGGCGATCGGAGCGTGGCCTGGGGACTCCACCTTGATCTTTGCTCACTCCGGAAACTGTACTCCACGGAGCCCCAAAGGTCATCTTTGCAACCACCCCGTTTTTACTCACGGAGAGACTGGAGTTGAGGAGCGAGGAGGTGACTCTCAGAGAAGGAGCTGTGACCAACTGGGAGTGGGCGTGAGAACCGAGGTTTGACTGGTTTGACAGGGTGTTAGAGCCTTGGTTTTCTTCACCCACACCCGAACTTTTTTCGTAAGTGTGGGGAAAAATATATATCCATTTTACATGTAAAATTGACGTTAATTGTATTCACACTATTATCTAGCTATCATCACTATTTCCAAACTTTGGATGTTGGTTCTGGTTTTATTTTTTATTGAATGCATTAGTTTAATTGTCTTATTTATTTTTATATTTTACATATAAATATATTTAAGGGGGTCACTGTGCCCATCTCGTGTGTGGCCAAGGAAACCCCTGCAGTAGTTCTCTTCTTCCTCGAGGTGGGTTCCAGGGGTCAAACTCAGGTCCCCAGCTAAGCATCTTGCCTGCAGGTGGTGGTTTAGGTATCAAGTCCTCAAAGTTTATAATGTTTATGTTATCTTCGTCATGAGATATTAAAATACTAAGAACTCATTGTTTGCTTGTTCACATTGGTGTCCAAAGTGTGAAGGAAACTCTCGGAAAGATTGGCTTCCCAGAGTCCCAGGTCAACCTGAGGCAGGATGGAAAGAAGGGAGTTTGAGGGGCCGTGGGAAGAAAGCTAGCCTGGAGTTGAAGTCTCTCACCAGCTGATTCAAGTATGCCAGCACAGTTAACATCTGTTGTGAAGTTTGCCTTATAGATATCCCAAATAAGAATATTAAACTAGTTCCGAAGTCACTTTCTGAGGCGACTTCCTCCTCTCGTGGTCTTTGTGACTTCCAACCATGGCATACCGTGAAGGGCAGAGCGTGATGGTGCAGCCCACCGACCTCACATTCAGACACTCGCAGACAGATCTCGGATTCCGGAGTGGCTGTGTGAGTAAGCGAATATTTGGGTAGAGAGCTGCATTATGGGCGTTGATGAGTACACGGATCTCGGATTAGATGATGCAGGCAAGATTCGTTGTGAAACGAGAAAACAGCTGGGCCAGATCATGCTAAAAGGAGATACTGCTCTGCTCCAAAGACAGAAGGATTTGAGAGGGCAGTGTTTTAAAAGGTGTCTTCCGGTGGGGACACAGGCTGAAACATTTATTCATATTGTTTTGGTGGCCCTTGTGTTGTTATATAACAATACGTGCTGTAAGGTTGTTTTGTTACACACACACACACAGAAAAGAATGTTAGAATAGAGATTAAGGAAATATAACCTTTCCCCCACAGTTTTCTCATGAGAAACTCCATTTAGTGAAAGACGTATCTTATCTCCCTTGAATAACCTTTGTGACCCAGGATTTACCTCATCAGATTGTAGTCATATCCAAGATATCTTATGACACACTCTATAATCCTATTTCCAAAATGGATGTGTGCGTGTGTGTGTGTGTGTGTGTGTGTGTAAGGAAGCACCTTAGAAACACCTCCAACAATGGAATTCTAAAAGCTTCTAAAATCAACATGCGTTTGTGGCCAAGCCGCTTAACTACAATTCCTGAGAAACCCACACCCACACTTGGTTGTCTATTGTCCAGTCCATGAGGGACTTTGTATTGATTTCTGTGTGTAAACAAAAGTCTCTGCTTTGTAAACTCCAGCTCGCTTCACACCAACTCATCCTGAAATTCTTTTCTGCACTGAAGTTAAGAATCCCGGATTTGAGCCTGTGTGGTAGCACACATCTTAATCTCTGCAAAGGCAGGCAGATCTCTGTGAGTTGAAGGCCAGCCTAGTCTACATAGACAAACCCTTCACCACTCTCCCCACATAATTCCTAGTAGGGGCCTCTGGAAAGAACCCCTCAGGCTTCTGAAGTCAGCAGTGAGGAGCCGTGTCTTTTCCCATACCGCACTGCTGACTATCGACCCACCTGATTGGTTTCAAAAATCACAAAAACTCCTCAGCACAGAGTCTAGCACAGAAGAAGTATTTAGTGAGTAGCTTGAAATTGAAACTCCATGTTTTAACAGCCCTGGTCCAAGAGTTCATGCCAACACCACACTCCTAAGAACTCACCCAGGTGCGTGGCCCACAGTGAGCAAAGAGTGGGAGACAGCTCCTGAGGCTCCTCTGACCTTGGGCCTAGCAATTTTTCTGAGTTGATGCATGTTGCAATGCTTGCCTTAGTTCGGAGGTTCCAAGTGACTAAGCACCATCCTGCCTCAGTCTTGTGCCAGATGGCTCTGTCACCTACAAGTCCATATATTTCCTAGACATGTGAGGGCAGGGCAGCACAGTCAGGATGGTGAACTTCTCCACAGTCCAGTCTTATTTCCCAGTCTCAACTGGTCCTTTTATAACCTCGTGAAGACTGTAGCTCGCATCTGTTACCCTACCATGCTGAGGTAAGGTTGGGGTAAGAGGACTGCTTCAAATTTGAAGGAAAATTCCTTTTTAATGCTAAGATTTCTGTGGTGCCAACAGTCAAAAAAGCCATTTCATGAAATATAAAGTAAGTAGAGAAATGCAGCCCTTTCTCTTTGTCTGTGTCAAGCAAAAGAATCTACGGTAAGTTAAAGCCATTTCTTAGCCATTGCTGTTTGGAGAGATTGCTTTAAAACCAGTCCTGTGAGTGTAAGCCCGTCACCAACCCTAGTTAATCAGAACTCAACTGAGGATTAGTTAATGAATGTGTATCCATTTCCTGATGTGCCAAGAAGTCAGTTTTGCTAGTAAGAGCCATATAGAAAATCTGTCTTTTGGACTTTGGTAAAGATTTAAAAATCATCACAGTATATATTGTCATTAAGCAGACTTTGGACATTGCTTCAATTAGAAAGTAAGAGCCAAATAAATGGTGCTGACCAGGCTGAGCCCTGTTCTGAGCTGTCCCCTACTGTGTAAAACAGTGGCTTTCAGTCTGTGCTTTGTCCTGGGTGACTGCATTTTACAGTCTCCATTTGGCCCCATTTTGAGGGCAAATAGAGAAGTAAATGGCTCTGTGCGTCATGTCCACAGACCTGTCCAGCAACAGCCATGAGGCACAAACTGATAATTCTTCCTTTAAAATATTTGTTTTTATGTTCCATATATGAGTCCTTGCCTGCCTGTAGGGACACCACGTACATGTAGAGGCCAAAGAAGGCATCAGATCCCCTGGAGTTGGAGGTATGGATGATTGTAAGCCTCCGTGTAGGTCCTGGGAATTAAACCCACATCCCAGTAAGAACAGGAAGTACACTCAACCACTGAGCCATTGCTCTGGCCCCTAAACATTTATTCTTTTTTTGATTTTTTTTTTTTTTGAGGCAGGGTCTCTTATGTAGCTATGGCTGTCCTGGAATTGTTGTGTAGACCAGGCTGGCCTCAAACTTACTGAGATCCACCTGCCTCTGCCTCCTGAGTGCTGGGATTAAAGGCAGGTGCTACCACACCCAGCCTAATAGTTTCTTCTTAAAAGATGTCAACTATAAACAAAGTGGGAACACATTAGCACATGGGCATATTAAAGCCATATCAGAGAGCTGGAGAGATGGCTCAGCTGTAGGAGCTTACACTGCCTGGAACTCCAGATCTAGGGCTTCACACACTCTCTTCTGCCCTCCATGGGCATCTGCACACAAAGGGCATATATTCACACAGGCAGTCTTTAGAACCATATAAACTAGAACTTATCGGAGGGCACTGAACTCAGCGGTGGCAACAGCCCTGTCAACCTATCATCTAACTGCTTGGTATGTGTGGCCAGGGACTGACAGGCAGAGAACTCCTTACTGTCTCAAACTTCCCCTCAGCTTGGTAGCCACCGCTTGATGCAGCCCACTAGTATTGCTGTCTGTCCACTTCTCTGTCTGTTCATCTGTCTGCTATATGTGCTATATGTGTCCTCCATGCTTCTGCCTCTGGGCAGCTCAGCTTTGTGGCTTTGTATGCTACCAAGAGCTCTCCAGCTGGGTTTGTAGTGTCTTGTCTGACCACCTCCAGCGACTGCCTGTGTCAACCCTCTACTTCTGCTTCTAGTAAGGCCTCTTTGAGCTCTCTGATGAACTGTGGCCCTTTCAAACCCCTTTCCAGCCCATTATAACCTAATCTATATGTAGCTATATATACAATTAGTGCAGTGTTTAATGTATGAGTTGAGACTTTGTAGGAGTAAGTGATTTTAAGTATAACAGTCATGGTGGTATACAACTGCATACCACAACTGTAATCCCAGCACTTGAAGCAGGAGGATCACAAGTTGAAGGTCATCTTTGGCTACCCGAGACTCTGTTTCAAAAATAACTAAATACACAGAACAAAAAAAACTTGTTTGCCAATGGCCAGATATCAAGGGAAATCCAGACTACTTGGCAAATTGAAGCCAACAAAACCAACAAAAATCTTGTGCATTTATTGATATTTAGTAAATTCTGACATTGTGGAAAGAGTTGGATGTATTTGTCTGTATCCCTGGCACAGCATAAACCTTTAGAGCGGTGGTTCTCAATCTTCCTAATGCTGTGACCCTTGTATGGTTGTGGTGATCCCCAACCATACAATTATTTTTGTTGCTACTTTGTAACTGTAGTGTTGCTACTGTTATGAATCGTAATATAAATATCTGTGTCTTCCCATGGTCTTAGGCCAACCTTTGTGAAAGGGTCATTCTATTCTCAGAAGGGGTCGCAAATCACAGGTTGCCAACTGCTGCTTTTAGTTAATGACCTGAGATTGAACATTTTACATCAGCTAAATCAATCTTCCTCTTTTCAGACT